GACACCATCATCTCAAGCACCAGTTTGTGGTTGGTTGTGTAAAAGAAAATAAAAACCTAAACAGTCTGAGTTTTAGATTGGGTAAGGATGAGATTTTTTTAACCTTCTGATGATAAAATAATCAGATGGGCTACCCCAAAATGTGGAGGACTCTTTATGCTTAGTGAGCTTTTCGAGATGTCAACAGTATCTGTCCTGGATGATTTAGACATTCCCTTGTCTGCAGAGAGAGAACTGGGCTGGATCATCTCTGAAACTGCCTTCAGCTCTCTATTATCACTACATGATTCTATTAACCAGTTAATATTTTTCCAGTAATTTGCCCTTAGCAACTGCCTAACAACATTACAGGTTCTTCCATCAGATTCAATGATGTGATATTAATCTAATATAACATACCCTCTCTGCCTGTTTCACCAACACCTCTCATTCCTTGACCCTTGAATAATTATTCAAGGACATCTTCTTTCCTTTTCTTCAACTAAACTAAGACCATCCTTAGGGCTTTAAACCAGTACCCATCATAGGCTCAGTGCTTACTAAAAATCTATCTGTAGGTTCAGATACTTCATTCACCAGGCCTTAAATTCTTCTGTTGGATACAGTGAATTCTAGATTTCTCTTCAAAGAATCATTATGTTAGTATATTCAGTTTTTTGTCTTCCATTTTAAAGTTTAACTTCCTTGTGGTTTCAGTAAACAACGTTTTTCACCAGTTTAATCAGTAGTTCACATCTGTTCCCCTGGTCACCTACTCCATCCTGACTCATCTCAGTCACCTGCTTTGACCTGCCTGAGTCACCCCTGGTCACCTGCTCTGACTTAAGTCACCTTTAATTACCTGTTCCTAACCATCCTTCCTGCCAAACTACCCACCCCGCCACTCTGGCTCATACCCCTGCTCTCTTTAAAATAGCCAATTGGAATTAGCTTAGACTGTGTGGTCCAACCCTAGCCAATAAGGGAACGACACAGCAGTCGGGGCTACGTGTGTCAGGAATAAGAACCCCTTCCCCTCCCTTGTTCAGGTATGCTCTCGTCATTACTCCATTTGTGAGTCGTACCCTTCTGTAGAAGTCAAAATTGCCTTGCTGAGAAAATTAAATTTATGTTCAAGTGCATTTCTTTGCAGCACCAAGGAACGAGCATTTTGTTTCTAACACTTCTGTTTCCTTCTTTCATCCCATCCAAATTATATTCTTTTTTGCTGTTATAAACTAAAACCAACTGCTAACCATAAAAATCGGATTCAGAATCTGGACGTCCTCACATTTCAAAATACCTGAAAATGCCCAAACTCACTGTAAGACTGTGTCTATCTTTGCTGGGCAGTATCAGCTGATATCTGTCCACTCACAAAGACAGACTGGAGAAGAGAATCCAAGGGTCAGAGGATCAGGATAACATGGTAGCTCATTTCTTTCTCACCTTCCAACCTTTCTACCATAGGACAGAGATTAGAACTGTTTATTTAAGAGGATTTACTGGCACAATAGCTGTTATAGCTTCACAAAATAGCTGACTTGTCCCTAAGGAGAATTTGAATCTGTGTAGCTTCATGAGGCCTCGAGTCAAAGGTAGCTCTTTCCCCACCAATTTAGACGTGGTTCAACTTTGCCTCTGCTGGGCATGTCTTCTTTATGCTTGGTTAATCAAGTGAATGGGATTCAGTAATAGCAATAACTGCCCTCTATTGAGTGCCTAATATGTAACAGGCCCCCTAGCCAGGCAGTGCCACGCACATAGTGGTCTGCACGGATGGCAGCCCTGGAACCATGCAATGCTGCAGCCAGGCCTGCCATACAATCATATAATTCAATTGTAACCGCAAAGGGCAGAATTGCCATTCCCATTCCAAATGAGGAAAAAGTCTCATGAAGGTAACTAAATTGACCATGATCACACAAAGAGTGAAGAATAGAGCTGGATTTGAAACTCAAGTGTGGTAACCAAAGACCCTGCTATTGTCAGGAGTTCTGCTCCATGCTGTGGAATTCAAAAATAAGCAAGTGGGGCTGGGTGCAGTGGAGGCAAGAGGATCACTTGAGGCCAGGAGTTCAAGACCAGCTTAGACAACATAGCAAGATTCTGTCTCCACAAAAATTATTTTCTTTTCGTTTTTTAAATTAAAAATTAACAAGTGGACCCGGACTTTAAAGACCCTGAAATGCAGTTCGAGAAAACAAGACATATTCATGTAAAATTAAATAGCAATGAGGCCAGGCACGGTGGCTCATGCCTGTGATCCCAGCACTTTGGGAGGTCAAGGTGGGCGGATCACGAGGTCAAGAGATTAAGACCATCCTGGTCAACATGGTGAAACTCTGTCTCTGCTAAAATTACAAAAACTTAGCTGGGCGTGGTGGCACGCACCTGTAGTCCCAGCTACTCGGGAGGCAGAGGCAAGAGAGTCACTTGAACCTGGGAGGTGGAGGTTGCAGTGAGCTGGGATCACAACACTGCACTCTAACCTGGGCAACAGAGTGAGACTCCGTCTCAAAAAAAAAAAAATTAAATAGCAATGAAATGTTGAAATAATAGCTCAAGTCAAAAGAGAAAATGTGTCACGGGGCAGACCATGATTCATTGCTAAATGGACCATATAGCAATAATTGTTACAACTGTTTAGAGAACACAGGTTTACAAATATTTACAAGTTTTGGTAAACATAGTCCATGTACTGGGAATTTCCAAATAAGGCCCTAAAACTGGCGGTAACACAAAGGCAAATAATAAGAGAAAGACATGACCTTGCTTCTACTGCACAAAGTCCTCATAGAAGAGAAACCACCAGGCACTTGTAGGGGAGGAAAAAGATAAAGGGTCTGTGGTAAAAATTTCAGAACTCTGTGAGAATGATTAACGTGCCTTTTTTTTTTTTTTTCTTTTAGAAAGTTTTGACTTCAGATTTAGCTTATGGCCTTGGGAGCTCAGGTTTAAAACGTGTAATGTGTAAATTATATTATTTGAAGTGAAAATGTGATACACACTTTGGGTTTTGTTTTATAATTTAATATAAAATAAGCTTTAAAAGGTATGGTTTTTACAAAGAAAACTTGAAGGATTTTGTCTTTTAAGACTGATAAGTAGGAGTTGCACTGGCAAAATCTAAATAGTAACTTCCAGTTTAATTCTAATGTTGATGGATGTGACAACTAAAGCATTGTGTTCTTCATGTTCCTGTGAGTAAAGGAGATGTGATAAATGCTACTGTTTTCTCTTTCAAATCTGCATCGCAGATAGTAGTCATGTGCACTTTTGACTAAGACCAAGTAGATGAGAGTTTATAAGAAGCCTAGGAACCGAATGCCAAATTTAGACTTGGGTTTTGAATCCTTCCTATGCCAGAATGATGATGCTTTCCTTAAATAGTTAACCAACTGGTTTGTTAAGCAAAGCACGTTACAGTAATAAAACTAAGGGGGCAGAGATAAGTATGCCTCTACATAGTTATATATGACTAGAGAAGAAAGACTAGTATTTTATAGACCAGTAGTGTTTCTTCCCAAACGCTAGTCCCATAAGGCAGGGTCCCCACCCGCCTGCCACAGACCGGTCCTGTTAGGAACTGGGCCACACAGCAGGAGGTGATTGGCAAGTGAGCGTTACCGCCCAACCTCTGCCTCCTGTCGGATCAGTGGCAGCATTAGATTCTCATCGGATCGTGAACCCTATTGTGAACTGTACATGTGAGGAACGGAGGTTGTGTGATCCTTATGAGAATCTAATTCCTGATGATCTGAAGTGAAACAGTTTCATCCTGAAACCATCCCCTTTCCCCTCTTACCCATCCTTCCATCCCCCTTCCATCTGCCATCACCCCACCATCCATGGAAAAATTGTCTTCCATGAAACCAGTTCCTGGTGCCCAAAACGGTTGGGACTGCTGTCATAGATCTTAATATGCAAATCACTTTCACATGTGCGTAACCTTGGAAACCACCTCTGAGATAAACATTATTATTGGCTCCATTTTATAGATGAGAAATTGACCTTAATGGAGTTAAATGATTTGCAGAACCATACTTAAACACAGATTTCCTAATTCTGACTCCAAGAATTTAAAAAAAAAAAAAAAAAAAAAAAAAAACCGTTGAAAGTGACTTATCCTCTGAGAAATACGGGGTAAGTGCCCTTCTTTATTTTCATTTACTGCTATGGGAAACATGATTACCCCTTCTAAGCCAATATGTCTTCATCATCAAGACACACAAGGTTTCAAAATGTAATTGCATTCTGATACACATAAGGAGTAAAAAAGAAGGAAATTAGAGACAGGTCATTCGTGGTTAAAAACACTGGCTTTGGAGTCAGACTGGCATCAGACTCATCCTCCAACTTTTACTAGTAATGTGAGCTTCAGGAAGCTGTTTGACTTCTCTAGGCCTCAGTTTCCTCATTTGTAAAAGGAAAGTAACAAGATCTAACTCTTAGGGTAGTTCTTATCATTAAAGAAGATAATACATTCCGAGAGCTTAGTTAATATGTGCTCAATAAATGTTTAAGTCTACTGCTATCATTTATTCAAAAAGTATTACACTGAGTGTGTATTAGATGGTGGGAATACGGAAGGAGAGAATATGGTGCTTGCCCTAATAAGTTTTGTATTTTAACCCCAGTTGCCACTAAAATTTTTATCATAAAGTGCATTATTTAAAAATTTCTGAGCATTATTCCCAAAACATATATGTATATGTTAATTTATAAATTATATGCATATATTACTATACTAAAAATTATGTGCATTATAAAACGTATACAATAAATGAATGCAAAAGAATAAACAATTAAGATCATACTGAATTATCTTGCACAGTCTTTGGAAGGTACATAGCACACTTTGAAGACCATTGTTTTAGCCCAGGGATTAGCACATTTTTCTTTAAAGGACTGGATAGTAAATAGTTTTGCAGACCACACAAAGTCTCCGCTGCACAATCCTCTTAGCGTTTTTTAAAAAAATTTTAAGCAACCCTTTAAAAATGTAAAGCAATACTTACCTCCAGAGCTTTGCAAAAACAAAGCTAGTGCTGTAGTTTGATCATCCTGGCTTTAGATGACAGACTGTTCTAGAGTAAATGATTTCAGACAGTGAACTAGTAAATACATAAGTTCTAGATGAAAGAAACTGTTTAGCTCAATGGAGAGTAAGGGAGAGGAGATCAACTTCAGCTAAGATGGTCAGAGAAGATCACATCTAAAGTGAGGCTGGAAGTTGGGGAAGGAGCCAGGCATGGAAGACAGAAGAAAGCCTTCCAGGCAGAGGGAAGAACAGGCAAGGACAAGGTCCTCAGGTGGACAAGAACTTGCTTGACCAAGAACTGACAGGAAGTCTGTGTGCCTAGAACTGGTGAAAGGGGGGAAAAGAGCAACGTGTGAGATGAGGCTTGTGAGTTGGGCAGAAGCCAGTTTTGGGGAGTTTTGAAGATGATTCCCACCAAGTAAAGCCTCTGAAGCAGAAATGTAGTTAGAGAAGATAAAATCAGCCGATTGTATGTCTCCGGAATGTGAACAAAGTGAAATAATAACCAGAAGGTGGTGGATCAAGGACTGGTTCCTGGGGCAGAAATAAGAGTTAAAGAGAAGTCAATTGTTTTGATTATGTCCTCAAGCTATTGAAGACAATTATTAAACTTATAAATCCTTTATTGTTATTCAACCTTAAAATAAAGTCATGCTGTTCTGACTTTCATGAACCAAACCAACGGAGCTTAGAACAAAGCCCTTATATTCCCACGTACACATTTTTTTTAAGTTGCTCTCTTCAAATTAAAACGGCATTAAAATGTCTTCTTGGAAGACCACACAGAAGCAGGTAACACTGGTTGCCTCCAGGGAATGAAATTGGGCATCTGTAGCACAGAAGAGGGAGGGGGACAATACACCACGTATCTCATTGTGCTTCCAGAATTTGAACCGGGTCACTCTAATCCCTAGTCAAAATGCAAATAAATAAAATTAAATTTAAATTAAAACTTTTAAACCACATTAATTTTGTGCAACCTCAGAAGAATGAAACAGTTCTCTAAAGATTCATTTGACTGAGACAAACAGGCACTCTTGCCATTCAAATAAATATTAACAAAATGTGATTAAGGTAACGACTTTGCAAAGTGGGTGTGTACATGTAACAGCATGATACACAGAAATGCATAAATAATGAAAAAATCACTTTAACAGAGAATGGAAGCAGTACAGGTAATTTTTTTTTTTTTCTCAGTCAGGCTGGGCGCAATCTCCGCTCACTGCAAGCTCCACCTCCCAGGCTCAAGTGATTCTCCTGCCTCAGCCTCCCAAAAAGCTGGGACTACAGGCCCACGCCACCACGCCCAGCTAATTTTTGTATTTTTAGTAGAGACAGGGTTTCACCATATTGGCCAAGATGGTCTTGATTTCTTGACTTCGTGATCTGCCCACCTTGGCCTCCCAAAGTGCTGGGATTACAGGCGTGAGCCATTGCGCCCAGCCCAGTACAGGTAATATTTTAAAAACCAATTTATACATTGGAAAACAGGGTTGGCAGTTCCTCAAAAAGTTAGAGTTACCTTATGACTCAGGAATTCTACCTGAGGTATATTCTACCTAGGTATACTCCCCAAAGAACATGGAAACATATGTGCCCGTAAAAACTTGGTTACAAATGTTTACACTAGCTTATTAAAATAGCTAGGAAAGTAAAAACAATCCAATTGTCTACCAACTGATGAAGGGATGAATAATATGTAGCATATTCATGTAATAGAATATTTTTCTGCAATAAAGTGAAGTGCTGATAAATGCTACAACATAGATGAATTTGAAACCTTATGCTAAGAGAAAAAAAAAGCTAATGACAAAAGACCACCAATTTTATGATTCCATTTATGTGAAATATCCAGAATAGTCATATTCACAGAAACAGAAAGGAGATTAGTGGTGGCCTAGGGCTGATGGGGGAAAAGGAGGATGGAGAGTGACTGCTGGTAGGTACTAGGCTTTGTCAGGGGGCATAAAAATATCCTAAAACTAAACCGTGGTGATGATTGCGTAGCCCTATGCATATTTAATGAGTATACTAAAGCCCATTAAATTTTACACTTTAAATGATAAATTGTATAATATGTGAATTGTATCTCAATAAAGTGTTTTGGGTTTTTGTTTGTTTGTTTGTTTTGAGACAGAACCTCTTGCTGTAGACCAGGCTGGAGTGCAGTGGCATGATTTTGGCTCACTGCAACCTCCACCTCCAGGGCTCAAGCTATCCTCCCAGCTCAGCCTCCCAAGCAGCTGGGACTACAGGCGCACACCACCATGCCAGGCTAATTTGTTGTTGTATTTTTCGTAGAGATGAGGTTTTGCTGTGTTACCCAGAATGGTCTCCAACTGCTGGGCTAAGCCATGCACCCACCTCGGCCTCCCAAAGGGCTGGAATTATCAGCATGAGCCACTACACCAGGCCTGACTTTTTTTTTTTTTATATCAACTTACAAAGGGCTATTCAAGTACCACATTGTAATGTAAAGTATAGGTGAACTGTCACTGAAAACAAAAGAATAACAATGTCAATATATGCACACTCGGATTTATAAAAATGGAAACCAACAAATCTTCTTTGGTTACAAAAAAAATCAGTTTGGGTTTCGTATTGCACAGAAAGTACGATCTCTGTGGAGTTAGTTATTCTGAAACACATCAAGTTGCCTGCAGCAATCCTCTTTCCTAACTGCCCTTGATTGCACAAGGTGCAGGCTAAAGAAGTGAAAATATTACAAAAATATTAAAAGTCCAGAAATCAATGAGAATGGCCTTTAGGAAGCACTTTGATATACACAGACATTCAACTTGTGTGCGTCAGGACTGAAATCCCTTCTGCCTATGAGAGAACACAGGTCATGAAACTACAGGAAATCTGCAAATAGATCATCCACTTGTGAGTAATAAAGAGTTGGTTCACTGTACATGTATGCCTGATTCCTATAAATCACTCTCTATTGCTAACAGATTGTCATACTGATGAAGTTGGCAATAGTTTCTTTTGTTTTGTAAAATATTCCTATTTTACTTTATAATAAAGTTTTATTTTGCCAATTTTGAAAACTCCTATTAAGGAAGGAGACAACCCCTCATATTGTCTTATGCCCAATTTCTGCCTCCAAAGAAAGAAGTAAAAACTAAAAGGCAGAAATGGAATCCACAGGCAGATAGCCCAGCAATAGCCACAGGCAGATAGCCCAAGGCCTGGTAGTTAAAAATCAACCCCTGACCTGACTGTTTGTGCTATCTATAGATACCAGACATTGTATGGAAAAGTATTGTGAAAATCCCTGTCCTGTTCTGTTCCGTTCTGATTACCGGTTCATGCAGCCCCCGAGTCACATAACCCCTGCTTGCTCAATTGATCACGACCCTCTCACATGGACCCCCTTAGAGTAGTAAGCCCTTAAAAGGGACAGGAATTGTTCACTCAGGAAGCTCAGTTTTTGAGACATGAGTCTTGCCAATGCTCCAGGCCAAATAAAGCCCTTCCTTCTTTAACTTGGTGTCTGAGGGGTTTTGTCTGCGGCTCCTCCTGCTACGCTATAATTAGTGTTTGAGAGATTCATATAGTAATTGATGACATTATATACTATCTACAGTAAATCTCATTCTTGCCACATAAAATAATTCCAATGAGTTATCTTATACAGTCACATTCAAGTTCCCTACAAGAAAATTCAATGGCTACAGAGAGGTCTATTTACTCTTTTCTCTAAAACTAAATTTTTAAAGACTTGGCTCAGTCTTGATTTTATAATTTTATGAAAGCAAATGATTTCAGGAATGATGTGTTCAAAGTATTTTTCAAACTTTTCCAAGGCATAATGATAAGCTAAAACAAACTTATTCAGTTTATATAACAAGATAGAAAAGTATATAATAGGGAGGAACTTGTTACAAACATTGGATAAAAATTATATATTTGCCAACATTGTCATCCATTAAAAGACGAATTATGGCTTATGGTAGGTCTCCTAAAATACTATAATTTATATCTTCAGTCTGGATGTGTTTCTCTCCTGTAGACTCATATATCCAGCTGCCTATGTAACATCTCCACATAAATGTTTAATAAACATCTCAACCTTAACAAATCCAAAGCATAGCTGCTGATCTTTGACACCCAAACCAACTCCTCCTGAAGTCCCTCCCTACCTCAGTTAAGGACAACTCAATGCTTCTAGTTGCTTCGACCAAAAGCTTTGGTAGCAATCTTGATTCGAATTTTTCTCTTAAATGCCACATCTAGTCATTAGCAAATCCTTCCAGCTCTATTTTCAAAATATTACAGAATTTAAACACAGACTTTCCCCGACTTCCACTGCCACTTCATAAACCAAGCTACCATCATTTCTTACCTGAATGTTGGCCACAGATGCCTAATAGGCTCACTCATTACTAATAGGCCTACCACTAACTCATACAGTAGCTTTGTGCAAATTAGAAAAAAGTGCCCTTCCCCAAGAACATCTACAAGAACACTGTAGAAATAAACACTATACAAAACTCTGATGCCAACAATGTCACGGCCTCCCCAGATTGTGGTACACTTGTGCAATGCACAACCTGCCTAACTGTACAAAACTGCCTTGCTTATTAGCATGATATATTTTTATTTATTTTTCTTATTTATTTTCTACTTCTCCCAATAGCATTTACTCTTTGTGAGGGCTGGGATTTCAGTGTCTTGTTCACTGTTGTAGCCCTAGCACCTAAACCATACCTGATACGTGATACACACTTAATCAATAGTTGTTGACCAAAAATGTCCAAAGAACAAGGGTTACATCACCAAAGACCCTGGGCATGAGCTGCCAGCAGGATAACCTAAATATTCTTCTGACATCACTTCATTAGATGTACATCCTCAAGTACTGTTGATGTGGAAAGAGAATTTGAAAACAGGATCTCTTTGGATGGTTAGTTTCCATTGTAACAAACATTGTCATGAAGAAAATCCTTAGTAATGTGTAAGCCCCAGCTGCAGGCAGCACAGTATAACTGAAAAAGGAAGTGGATAGAGAGGTCAACCACAGGCCCTCCAAGTCCAGAGTGTGACAAAGCATGGAGACCTGAAAGAATGCGCTGTGCTGGGTAGGAATCCAATTGCTTCTATGTGGAGAGGAGCAGAGAAAGAGGAAGATAGATAGATGGGGCCTTTGCCATCTCTTTTCTGGCCTTGAGATGAGTCGTCATACCTAACCATGACCTTTAACAAACTTTACAGAAGATTGGAAGGTTAAGGACAAATCTGTACAATAAACAGATTTATTTACAACAGCTAATAGAAAGAATTGACCTTGGAGCCCAATGGCCCAACCCAATCCGTAAATCCCAACCAAACTCTCAGCAGGCTGGTTCAACCTCCACCGAAGGGATGCCCCCTAAATGGCCATGTATTTGTCTAGGTCCAACTCTGACAGCACCACCCCAAAATAAAAACTTTCTCTACCCATTTAAATGCCTATTTTTGAATTTCCTTCTCCAAAATGATTATCAGTGGGAATAGTCAGCCCCTACAAATAATATCCCATTGTTTGCTCTCAAAAATATAAAGTTAGACAGGCATGGTGGCAC